AGTAATCTTCCATTTTGTCTTTTGATTTTTTACAATGTTTCTCTGTGATTGTACCATTCAAAGGATTCTTATGTCGAAATATAAAATGAAGCTGAAGAAAAAAAAACATCAAATGAATCATAATATATTTTGTATATTAAGTCATTTAAATTAAGACAAAATTAATAAAGCGCACATCTTGCGTACCTTGTGATCGTTGCCACATTTATCAGGCCCAAACATTATGGTATATGGTGTTTTATCTTGAAACTGTTTCAAGTCTCCATATTTATCATCTAATGTAAGCAACTTAAGATAAGCACCACCACATTCTTGTCCCTCTTGGAAATTAACTTCATATTGTACAACTAAGGGCTTGTCTTCAAAATAAAATGGCTTAACTAATGCAGTAGAAACGGCAGCATGTCTAGCTTTGCTTTTAAGCACTAATCCTAAGTCTCCATCCTCGCCATGTTTCTTAGGTTCTTCGATGGACCAAATTCCTAACAAATAACAAAAAGGTAAATATTGGTCATATTGGTTAACTATTAGGGACATACTGAACTAATATTTGGGCAATATTGTACCAATAATTCTGCTACTAGGGATATAACAAAAGGATGTACAAAAATTTAATATTAACCATCGTATTTAGCGATATCTTCGTCAATACCATCCTTCTTCGCCTCTGATAATATCCATACATTCCTAAATCTCTCCTCACTGTCAAAGTTCTCCGCTAGGTGAGCAAAACCGGAAGGTTCCGGACTTTTGTAAGTTGGTTTCTGTATGGCATCACTGTCTTCATCCGCACTTAATATACAACATGCATTCAGGCAAACTAACACAAGACACGCTACAATTCTTGCCATTTCATATTCCTGAAATATACAAAAAAATGAAATGAGAGGATACCTTTGCCTAATTAATTCATTTAAGCCTGGTGACTTGAAACACATGACAAAATAAATCTAATGAACAAAAAAAACTAAAAGATTCACAAAATATAACATATAAAAAACAAACATTAAAGCAATTTCTTACAGCAACTTTTTAAAACAGTTTTTAAAGCAATTGAAATTATATCCCTAAAATCGATGCACCCGAGAGACGGAATGAGCCAGTCATGCGAAGCTTAACCTCAAACGTGCATCATACACCATACACCCCCCTGCAGACATTGTTGACCGCGGCGTAATAAATAATTTTGCATAAACTTTTTAGTTAAATTAATCTGTATTGCAGTGATATCAAAATAGTAAATCACAAGTTTTTTTTTACGCTAGAAAAATGTAACAAAAGCTGGTCTTACCGGTGATACAAGAGAAAGTTAATTCAGAGAATCCTCGGACGATTGGCGCGGCGTAAACAGCGAGGACGTGTTATTCAATTATTTAATAACGATAATTTAATCTATCCACGTAAGGGCAACTCGCGTCGCGTTCTGAAAATGAGCGGCGCTTCCGGAAGTTGCCGGTGAGATCACGTTAATTGATAGTAACTTTAATTGAATTCCTAGCACCGCTCGACCGTCGACGACCCTCACGTCCACGCGCACACCCAACCACAGAATGGACGCAACGATGGCACCGATGTTCACATAGATCGGCAATATTTTCTGATTTCATTAGCAATACGTTATCTGATGTTATCATATGTATGTTAGGCCCGAGGTGAGGTAGGTCGAATCGTTTTACACAACTGCACTTTCTACACCGCCACGCGTCGCTCTTCGACTGATCGTCCAACACGAGGATGTTAATTGTTCGAGAATTGTTTGAAATCTTTCAAAATTTTTGCTCTCAAAATGAGATAGTCAGAAATTGAAAAAAGAGAAAGCGAAGATTCCGAGTTTAAAAATACAAATAAATCTACGATAATATGTCCGTTTCCGTTTTACCTACACCGAGTGCAACAACGCTCGATGCGACGTGATACAATGGCTGTGTTCCAAATTTCATTGCCAGCGCTGAAAATCTAGTTTACGTTATGTGTACCATACATTTTCAGCACTGACAGGGAACTTGGAACAACAGCCTTTTGGTCCATTTTCTCTTCCTACATTACTGTTCTAGAACCCTCTTTCTCGCTTTGAACAAATATCAAAAATCTTTCTCACTTTAAGTTCCAAAAGTGTACACTAGTTCAGCCACAGGAAACAGACCTTTTGTCGTATGAAGGCCAAATAACAAGTCAGATGTCTAGAAGTATTCATGCATCGTGGCGTAAAAGTTATTAAATTGTTTGACAATTGTATAAAAAACAATACAATTTTAAATCTGCCAAAGAAAATAATATAATTTATTAAATATTAATTCCTATAAATTCTTTGATTACATTGTTTCTCTCTCTTCTTGCACCATAAACCTAAAATTAATAAATGCGATATCTTAAACACGCAACGTTCATTCAGTCTTCAAGGGTGGTGAGAAATATCTCGTGACTGTCCTTACGACCATAACGGCACTGAAAATTATCCTAACGTTAATACAAATTTGTAACTTGCATAGTTTTAAATACAATTATGGCATTTAAATACCTTAATATAGCGATTACTCCAGCTGGCATTATCTTTCCACTGTTGTAAAACCGATATCCCATTAGACCTCCAAGAGCCGTACTAGTGCCTAAGAAAACTGCAACATTGGTTGGGTCCTGGGAAGTCTGGTAAGCACCATATCCTAGAACTGATCCAAAAAGAAGACCTGCGGCCAACGAGGGAATGGAACCTGGAAAATTTGATAAGATTATCACTTAAAGCATTTCAAGCACACAGAGAAAACCAAATGATATCAGCGAGAATCATAAGGCTTGTTCTTTTTAATAAATTTCTTGTACAGTTTATCTTTTTCCTTTTTTTCTTCAACAGTGGAGAGAAAAAGAAAGGAACTGTATAAAAAGTTTAGCTAAAAAGAACAAATCTATTATAGATTATTCCATTTCGGAGCTGACATTATATAATCTACATAACTCAAGTACAACACAAATCATCATGACAGCAATTAAATCTATACAGCACAAACCTATACAGAAGATTACAGCAACATTTCGGATTATATTATCGGAATATTATTAGAATATTGCATATTGCTGTAATTTTGCTGAAATGATCTATACTGTAATAGAAATGACTCCAACTTCCAAAATGATCATACCAGTTTCTACCAATATAGATTAATACCAGTTTCTACCAATATAGATCATATCAGTTTCTACCGATATAGAATAATACCAGTTTCTACCAATATAGATTAATTTTACTTTCAGTTCAACTTATTCTTAGAATTAGAAAAAAAATAATGAGTTAGTTGAAATGAGATTAAAATTAAATTACATTGGAAACAGACATAGAAGTCATTTATTCTATCATTTACGTTTCATTTTAATGTTATTTTGACGTTATCATGATTTGTGTCATTCTGCTTAAGAAGTGTCGTTTTATCTTTGTTATTTATTAAATACCAAGAAAAATAGAAACAACGTTTGTGTGTCTCCTGAAAGTAAAGCAAACAAATTTTGTCAACAACAATTAATCAAACTACTCACTCGATTTCACGTAACCTAGCACCCCGCCACCAGCCACCGCGACAGCGTACGCAAATGCAGCGTAGTCAATCGGCATTGCTGTAAGAAGAAAAATCGTTTGCAGTCTCCACTGTGTACTATGTGACGTCTATTTATATAATTACCTAATGATAAGCTCGATATATCTTTCCGTATCGCGCTGTGTTGCAATTACGCAAAAATTATACACGGAATAGCAAACTATCGAAAGAAGTTTTTCCCTGCTTCTTCGTCGCACTTCTCGACAATTTAATTCAACGAGGTTTTAATTGCAATAAATAACATCCATACACACAATCACATGCTATAGCTCGGCGCAATAATTTATATTTAATGTACGACGGCGGGCATTCCGTGACAAAGCATGATTTTTTGCAGTCCTTTCAGTGTTACCATCCGTCGTTCAGCGGCCAATGACGTTCCAGTATTAATTGTTAGGTTTTGAACAACGCGTACGCGATGACGATCCATTATAGGCAATTACAAATTTATTTACACCAATTGCATAACGTTTGTTACTTTGTTCATTCCTCATTCTTTTGCAAATGTTCCTTTTGTTATTATACAAATATAGTTAGACTAGAAAAATTATAATTCTTTAGCGACAGAAATATGCTTGATGCATGCGACTTTAAAAAAAAACCGCGAAGAGACATTTGTGAAGTACAGAAAAAAAAGTGGATAACTTATAGTTTTTTACTAGCAGAATTGGTGCGCACTCAGTGCACATTAAAGCTGTTGTACATACGACACTAACTTAATCTGAATGTAAAAGTCAAAGATCTCAATTAATAAAATACTTAGGGTATAATTTATCAAATACCACAATAAAATATATTGAGGATTTCGTGGTTTATTCGTTTCTATATTTTTATTAAACATACATCTTTACGTCGATTTGTGTACAATGGCTTTAAAGTGCACTGAGTATAATGCACCAGCTCTGCCAGTGAAAAACATTATTTGATCTTTACATTCGTACACTTTTTAAATAGCGTCCTCTGATATATTTTAGTCGAATATTTCCCAAGTGAGAAAATTTGCGATATAAATACTTTAAAATTCAAACGAGAGTAAAGAAAAAGATCCGAATTAAATATCTCCAGCGTCTATGCGACACGGCATCGCTAGTAGGCATAAAAAGTTATTTTTATATTTTAAATTGTTTAAACAGTAAACTTCCTGGATATCTAATTGTGCTTTAATGCCCATTTTTAGTAATGTAAATTAACTTTAATTAATTTAAGCTCAATTTGCTCATCTTTTTCTAAATTTTTAGAATTAGAAAAAGATGAAGTTATATATAGTTGAACCGAAATTAGATTACATTTTGTAGAAACCTGCATTAAATCCTCTTTTGAAATGACCGATTTTTTTTTAGCTTCCAATTCAACAATAATTATTTTTATTCTCTTAATTAGGACCATCTTATCGATATTAACTATAGAGCTGGCTGTTCCACAACGATCGCGCAAGATTCATGACTCGTTCTTTCTTAATCGGAGATTATCTTTAATTCGACGACTGACATTCATTCAAGAAAAATCTAGAAATAATCGAGGAGAGATCTGGGAGAATCAAGTTTCTTATTGCGTTTTGCCACATTTCGCAGCGGTCGTTAGCGAAATATTCGAATTCCTATTCGTTCCTAACTCGTGCAGAGAGCCGTTACACTTTTTTCTACGAATTGCTATGAATTGATAAGTCACGATCGATGACATCACTTTACCACTTTAACGTCAATATGAGCGTATATAAGCGTGTGTAACCGCCGATACGTCCGACTTGTGAGAATTCCGCGGCGGGGTCGTTCGATATGCTCTCACATAATTTGTTCGTCAACACTGGGAACATACTCTCCCTGAGCGAGGCGAAACAGAAGGCGAGTCAAAATTCCACGGATGAGGTCGGTTGACAGTTATTACATAACATTGCGTTCTACATAATTCTGCATAAAATACGTCTTAACTATGTCGCGCGACATCGATCGATTTGTTGTTCTTGAGGCCGAGGTTATGTTGCGACACTTGTCGAAATTTTTTCTCTAACATCACTCATTGATACGTTTTAGTTGATCGAGACACTGAAGATCGTTTTAAACGATGAACAAAGCAAAGGGAATGACAAGACAATTGTATGTATATGTGATTTTCAGTAGCGATTGAAAGTGTCTTTCTAAACAGCTGATGAATTTTCTGTCAATTACAATTTTAGATCAATGGAAAGAAGGATACAAGTTTACAGGACGTGGATAGAAAAGACTTAAAGATCACTGTAAAAGTATTTATCTCATCACCTGATGTTAATTCATTAAAGGAAGCATTGGATCAAGGTACCCGTAGCTATTATAATAGATTTCTTTTATGACCCTGGTGGAAAATTTTTTTCGGAATTTTTCATATAATTTTTCAGAATTTCTATATAATTTTTCAGAATTTCTCTATAATTTTATAACACGTTTTTTATACAAATTGTAACATTTCTCAGAAAATCTACATCTTTTCTCAGAATTTTTCATATATGTTAATTATGAAATATCGTAATATTTTTAAGATTTTTTGTAAGTATAATTTCTGATGAAATGTTATAAAATCCAAAAAATTTAAAAATACTTTTTAAAAATTATGGGATGAGAAATTTCAGAATACTTCAGATTTCACTTGTATGAAAAATTCTAAGAGAAAATGTAAACTTTCCGAATATTTCTGAGTATTTCTAGTAAATGTTCCAATTTGTATAAAAATTATGAGAAAAATTTTCACCAAGGGAGACTTGTTTTTTTTACCGAACTTCTTTGCACGGTTTATCTTTTTTTTTTCTTTTTTACATTGAAAAGTAAAAGACGAAAGAGATGAATGGTACAAGAAGTTCAGCTAAAAAGAACAATCCTGCGTATTCTTAATGTGTTTTATATTTTGTAGCGTTTGAAATACTTCATACAGATACCATTGAATCACTAGTAATAGCTTACAAAAGTGCTGAGAGTCCAGAAGATATGTTGTCATCGTTAAAAAAAATATGGTCTGTGGTAGAAGAATATGTAAAAGTTGACAAGTTATCCAGTGTTGGATTAAGCGATATTAATACAAACACTTTCATTGAACTATTTCAGTGGGCAGATGTAAGAATAAGTTACGTAAAGTGATATTTATATTCATTTTAATATATTCTCATCCATATTTGTGATGTTACAGATAAAACCAAACATTGTACAGATTAATTTAGCTACGTGTTGTGTGGTACCGCCAGCCTTGCAGGAATTTACTAAAGAAAATGATATTCAGTTGCTGACTCATAGTGATCCCTGTCGTAAGTATTTTTTACTTAAAACATTTAAAATAAATTAGTGATATAAACATGGTGTCCAGTGGTCCTTGAATATTCTTGGATCCGGGAATTATACTTGAATTTTATTTCCCGTATTCTGGAAAATTCCTGGAAATCCCTGAAATTCCAGGGCTTGCCTGGAATGTCCTGGAATTATCCTTCAATTGACTAGCTAGATTTTGCTGGACACCATGATTAACCCTTCGCTGGCAATATTGGATTTTGAAGCACTATTGATTTTTTATTGTTAATTCTGTTAGATAAATTTAAATCTGTATAAAGTAAAATACCACCCAGTTTCTATGAAAATTCATTAAAGCTTCCACAAGAGTATTAGAATTTTTTTTAGATTCTAATATATCCGGAACAATATAAAAATTTGTACTAAAGTTCAGAGATCCAGATTGCTCAAAAGGTGAAAAATTTATATTGCAAAGGATTAAAACAATCGATTATTAAGCATAAGGTTCATTTTATATTTTTCGGTATTTCTTATAGAAATTCTTCCTCAAGAAGTATTAGAGAATATATTTGGTTCTACTGCCCATTTATACTGGCTGATAAGATATCAAATCCATCTTAAATGCCGCGGAATTTTATCATCGAAAGGGTACTTACTGCGCATTAATAAGTCTAATGTTAAACCTTAACGTTAGTAGCACCACTAAATGTTATTTCTGCACAAGGTAATGTGTCTCATATTCTATATTAACATGTTTTACACACGAATAACTTACACTTAATTTTTGTAATCATGAGCATTTTGAACATTTTATTGTACATATATTATTATTATAAGCTTTTATAGTATTGCACTGCGTTATGCGTCTTATTTTTATTAGTTAACTCTTGCAAGTTTTTGTATAAATTTTTATAGCATGACGTACATAGATGCGCATTCTCTTTTTTTTTAAATTTTTTAATTTTCTTAATAGTTAATCATTGTAAACAATTTGAGAAATAAATGTTACAATTTCTTGGAAGGGCAAAGTGACCATTGAAGATATTATTTTCCAAATTTGACAATATTTTATCCCCAAGTTACAAAAAAATTTTTTATAAGTCGCACCATTGCCTCATTCAATATTTATTTTTTTCTACGTGCAGACCATGCGATAGTTTTATCGTCCTCGAGCGGCTTGCAGCCCTTCGCTAGCGGTAGCCGATCGGGAGTCCGGCGAACGGTGGTGACACTAGAGGAGATCCTTCCTTTTGTGTATATATGCGTGTATGTGTATGCGTGTCCTCAGCATATTGTCGTCGTCGTCGTCGGTCGGCTCCGATATATGCGCTCCTTTTTTTCCCCTTTGCCACTACCGCCTTGTGCTGCTGCCTTCTCGGATCTTTTCCTTACCCGCCCGTTCTGCTATTCCTCTCTTCTCGTCCCATTCCCCGTTCTCCTGGGAGCCCTCTTTTGCGTTAAGCCGCCACCGCGTGGCACACACATCGCTGAGACGACGACGAAGCGAAGGGAACTTACGGAGGACCGCAAGGATAACGCTCTCTTTCTCTGTCTCTTTTCTCTCTCCTGCCAGTGTTGGATTCAATTCTGCGAATAAAACGCGAAAAAAAACTTTCAAATTTCGAAAGCAACGCCAGCAATAAAATTGATATGTTAACGTCGAAATATTTGACAAACTACTATTTCTACATTTTATGACAGAAAGTGAATACCTTAAAGATAAACTAGAAGAATAACCCAAGTAGAACACAAAATCAATAATAAAGTCATCATTATATTGTAGAACGTCATCATGACGTCATATTAACTTATATGTGACAAATAAGGTCACGATGATGTCTTTATGATATTATTATAACTTCTGTGTTCTACTTGGGAAATAGTAAGATAATTGCAGCGATGTCGCGTATAAAATGTATCAAGTACGAGGGCAGGGAGGCACCGAAGGGTGCGTCTCGTGCGCGCCTATTTAGCGAGATCCACTGCCTTTTCCGCTCCCTCTTTCGTCCTTGTCGCGCGAGCCCTTCACCCATACACCGCGTTCATCATTCTACCCTCTTCGTCCCTCGTTCAGCACTCAACAGCAGCTCCTTCCTTCCTTCCGTCTTTTTTTCTCTCTCTCTTGGATACGCACACACACGTGAACCTGTGTATATTCGCTCTCTCTCTTTCTCCCTTTGTCTCTTTCTTTCTTTCATTCTCACAACCACTGCGTTGAGAAGCCGGGTATGCGAACCCCGCGATACTATGTTATGCCTACGGATCGCGGGTCTGACATACTTTGTATGTTAATGCCACATAATGTCGGTTTTGTTCCTCTTTTCAACGTTTATTTGCTCGGCTCTCCTCTTGGTCCGATCGCTTTTGTCGCGAACGGTGTGTGCGTAACCCCGTGCCGCGTTTCCCATCTCCCTGATATCGCTCTCATCCGATCCCGGAGGAGAGATGTTTAAGAGTGACGATGTGTTTCGAGCCAGACAGCGAGACTCATCCATAGAGAATTGCGTCTCAAAATCTCAAAATTGGAATCGCACGGAAGAAGGCTACTACTAAAACAAATTTTTTTTTTCCTACTAAGCGTACAAGATCGAATGTGGACTCTAGGTTCTAGGCTATTCTTTTTATTCAATGTTGAGTCCGAAGTTAATTCTTAGTACATATCATTGGATTATTCGTGTCCTGCACATTTCTTTCTTTGAAAAACTAGGAGCTTAAGTAATTATCCATATAGCACATTTTATTCGTGAGACATCCTGGAAATGTCCTTAGTACGTTTTTTAGAGTTCTACGTTGTATGCGGTAGTTATAATATTTATATACTTTTTTTTTTAAATACACAACCTTATCTTCTTTCACAAAGATATCTTCTGAAGATGTTAAGGTATATGTAAAAATAATTTTTGTATATTTGTTAAAGTGATGAAAATTAACCTGGGACATCATCGTATGCAGTAAAGGACCGGAAAATTATCGTATGTACTAAGGGTTAATACGACTGCATTGCGAACAAAGTGCGAGAAAAATGGAAATGAGATATGTAGGAATTAAAAGAATATCAACAAAAGAATAACTAGAGATGGAGACAGGAGAAAGTCACATTTATTTTTGTTATACGATTTACCCTTCTAATTCGAAGAAGAATATTTTACTGTTGATATGCGAGTAATGACAGAAAAAAACAATGAGTGAGCTGAGAAAATATCGAAAACAAATTATCAGTAGAACTTCGTGAAGCTATAGTAAATTAGCGTAGACAAGGCCTCGCGGCGTAAGGAATAAACAGGTAGTAATTAATGAAGCCATTGAGGTGTTCATAGGATATATGATTAACGAGACGACGTGACGTAACATAAGTTACGTATGGCATGGCAGGTTAAAAGACGAAGAGAGGATGAAAAAGAAAGGGATGGAACGAGAGGATCGGCGGCAGCAGCAGCAACAGCAACGACAACAGCAACAGCAACTCGGCAGTAGCGAGTAAACGCAAAAGCACCCTCGCTCGGCCCCGTGCGATGCAAAGACGGGATATAAATAAGCGGCTGTCGTTTGCGGAAGCAGAAAACGGGCAAAAGGACAGAAATAAAGAAGTCGAGGAAGAAAGGGAGCCAGCGACGAAGAAAGGAATAAATAAGTCGGGGAGCGAATGCGAAGGAAAGAAGGAGAGAGAAAGAGGCAGAGGAGAATCGGCAGCACCGGGCCCCCGGCTCTCAAGTCCCTTGTCGCTTTGCTCGACCAACGTCCCGATCTACTACTTTCGCGGTATACGACCGTCCTTTCGCATTGGAAAGCTTTTATTTCCGCCGTGTGCAGGGGCTGGCAGGTGTACCCGCGTCTCGTTATCCGAAGAGCCACCTCTTTCGAATCATAGGATGGATTTTAGAGGCGTGTTCGTCGAGAACGGAATGGCTCGACAGATGCGTGAATAACTAAATGAATTCTAATTGAATAGTGGACGAATTTATGTCGATACTACAGATTAAGTTCCCATAGATCATTCCAGCAACATTGGCTGTATTCAGAAAAAAAAAACAGCTTTGCAAACAGCTTTTCTTACTGTTGTAAGATTCTTCAATGATTGGTTTATTTAACATTTGCATTTAGTGAGGAACTAAGACTGACTCACATAAAGAATTTTACAACAGTTATACAAAGCTACTTTTCTGCTGAATGCTATTGAATGTTGCAGCAATGTTGTTATAAGCTTCTGCATTATATGGGTAAAGATTGGAGCACAGACCTTTGCATAACGCAAAATGTATGAAGCATAATAAAATCAATCTCCATCAGAATCTTTTATTTTATGGAAAGGAAGGAAATTAAGACTCTGATTGGTTCATTTTCTTATATTATGCATTATGCAAGACTGTATGTTCCAGCCTCTAATAAACTTTTTCCTAAATTAGAATATAGTTAGGTAGCATAAAGTCTCCGTTTCTGCTTATTCTCAGGTCGATTAATTTTCTTTGATTTAATTGGACATTTGAGGATGATTTTAGTCAGAAAAAATTCCCAAAATTCGTGCCGCCGAATTCAAAGACAAAAAAACGTTGAAACTGCTAAGGACACCCTGTATACGCGCATACGCATATACAGCAGGCATATATGCGATGGCTGCGAACAGAACGGCGTGCGGAACAGAACAGAACAGAACAGAACAGAACAGAACAGAATGGAGCGGAATCGAAAGAGAAACGGAACACACAGCGGAGAAGCGCGAGCTGACTGCGGCAGGGGCGCAGCATGTTTATTGGCGCATCTCTCAGTCTTAAATCTTTATGTTGTCTCCGCGACGGGGTCCGCTCCGACCATCCCCCCTGGTCCCATCGGAGAAAGACGGAGAATCCGAGAAGGGCACCGGCACGGCGCGGTGAAGAGAGCGAGAGAAAGAGAGGTAGAAAGAGAGGCGTTCGCCGGAGCACACAGGGAGAGATATATCTTCCCAGGGAGAGTTGCGGTCGCGAAATCGAGTCAAGAGAGTCGGACAAACCGACGACCGTAGGCGCGCATCCACCGCATTACGCACACAGAAGCCGCGATTTTAACGTGCCTCGAGAAACGCGTGTCGCTTGGTCGCGCCGAGCCGAGAGGGAAATGGACCTTCGCCTTCTTCTCGATGCTAAAAGCGCATATAGAGATAGACAAGGAATTTTATTAACGATTGCGAGTATAAGGAAGTCCAGCAGCATGAAGTCGCTCCGATAGCACATTTTCTTACGACGATTATATGTCAACGGAATTAAGAATCGACGCGATTACATTGGGTCGTTTAATTGTCATTTTTTTTACATTTGGGAATATTATTCTCGAAAGGCATTTTTTAAAAGAATTTTTAATATTGCTAATATTTTTAATATTCTTGAATATTATTAATAATATTATATTATTATTATCTATTTTTATATAATATTCTTGGATTGGAAAGAGAGAGAGAGAGAGAGAGAGAGAGAGAGAGAGAGAGAGAGAGATGAGGAATAAATTGAATCTCGGTCAAAAGTTAATCGTGAGTTATTGCTATGAATATCGATAATAAAAGAACATAGTTATAAGCATAGTTATAAGTAGGTAAATTTATATCTACCATGATTATAAGTATATTTTCGTGAAAAACGAGTTTCTTTCAAAGAGAGAGTACACAGAAAAAAGTTTTTTAATTGAATTAACTAGAATTCTGGTGGAAAATGAACAATCCAGAATTCTAGTTAAATCTACAAAATTTCTGGTTAAATCTTAAAATTCTAGATGAAATAATCAACATTTAATAGAAATCTAGTACTTAGATTTAATCAGAATTCTGGATTGTTCATTTTCCACCAGAATTCCAGTTAATTCAACAAAACATTTTTTTCCGTGTACGTCTTGAATGTAGCCGCGCGACAACGCGACAA